GGTGCTTGTCCCTGACTTTCAATAGCGCGCATGTGACTTCTTTTCTCGGTCTTATAGTAGGCATCAAGTTCTACTGCCAGGCGAATAGCTTCATTTAGATTCTGGGGTCGACTCTGTTTAATGCGTAGTCTCATATCAGAATCTATCAATCCATCAATAAAAGCCTCTTTACCAAGAGTGTTTCTCTTACTTCTGCCGGTGCAGATGGATATGCCAAATACGTTAATCGGCGCACAGCTTGGCCTAGGTCAGATAATGTTTCTGATGCCCATTGACGCCTTTCTTTGAGTTGTGCACGGTACAACTCCGTTTGATTAGGTGGAGCAAATCTCTCTTCAAGCGCTTTCACTAAGAGGTCATATTGTTGTCCCGTTTCTGGCGAAACATTTCCTAATATTCCTTGTGCTGCTCCTCGCAGTGACACTGCTAAAAACAACCCCTTTTCTTTAGCATTCCAATTGTTGATACCCGCACACGCATCAAAATGGGATTTATAATCTAGCCAAGAATGAGTTCCATCAAAGGTTGCTGGCTTAATGTTACACTTGGCTGTAGCTTTCTCACCTTGGTCCTTCTTCTCTTTATCAGTTACGTTGACTATCTGTCGGGGAAATGAGCTATCTATCCCTTGGTTTACCTCATTCCCAGAATTTCCACATTGACTCTGCGCATTCGCAGGTATTTTATGAAGCGCATCCGCAGGTGTTTGATGCAGCGCATCTGCTGCAGCGCATCCGCGGATGTACGATTCATTGGAATCGGTGGCTGTGCATTATGCCTTAAAGCAGTTTCTGAAAACTGCGCATTTAATGAAGATCTTGGAGTCTCAAACTTGTTTTGTATCCGACCCTCATGAAATAATTCTGCACATTTCGTTTGCGCAGGAAGCCTATTCTGATACTCTCCTTGCGTTGTCATTTCCAATTGAACTTGAAAAGGAAAATGCGCCAGAGTCTCACTCAACATATGAACTGGGTGTGGATGTGCACTTGACAAAATGCTCGGCGTTTTCCAATTTGGCTGTGGCACCATCGTTTCATATTGTTGAGCACTCGCAGCATAATCCCTTGTCAAACTGGGTGCATTTGGTTTTGAAGTGAAATTTCGTTGAGCTGTTTTTCTCCTCATTGTCACACCATCTAGCGCTCCTCTAGGCTGATTTCCTTGTGCGCGTTCGCCAGTCAATGACGCAATTCCAGAATCGCGCATTGGTCTACTTGTTTCAACGGGTGTAGATTGCTGTTCTATTTCAAGACGCAATCTCTCACAACTCCTTTCAAGAAAGGATATCTCTTCGTTTATCATTTCCTCCATCGCACTCATGATTTACAAGTCAAATATAACAAAAGTAAAAACTTTTCAATTTACAATTTATATTCCGTCGAGTATTTGCCGAATCCCACCGTGCTGCCACCAAATCTATGTAACGTTTTCGGGTTCTTTTATGGGATTCGGCTGTTCTATTTGAACAATTAAGGAATAAATCAATTTTCTCAATCACAAATTTAAATTGATAGTATGTACAATTATTCCTTCGTTTCTCGGGAGCGCACGCGCCTTCCAAGGACTGAAGCGCGTCCGCTTCTTACCTTCAGTCAAACCAGAATATCAGGTACTTTATCTCAGTAATATAGTCAATCAAAGTCTCGAAAGTCTATTTCAGACACATAAGACTTGATTCAAGGTATTCCTTGCAGTACCTACCACGTTTGACTTCTCTGTATACAACCGTCTTTCCAATTCGGCTGTCAGTAACAGACTAACTAAATCAACCCGACTGTCTCCTTATTTATACTACTTCAGGTCACATGACCTGCGGAGAACCGAAGGGAACAAAGAAACCGGAAGTCAGTGCAACTACCGAGAAATGAAAGGATAATATGATCTCGATTACAGATTTGCTTCAATTCTCTGCTCCTGGGTATTAAAATAAATTAAGTACATAGTTATGATGAGCAAGAGTGCCTCTTCCAAAATTATGAATTTTATGGCCCCAGGGTCAGGGGTTCTGGTGTTAAGGCGGGGCTCTATTGATTATATAGTAAAAATACAATTGATTATATAGTGACAATTCAAATTTGTCTTCTCTGCTTCTGGGTATTAAGTAAACTAATTATAACTCAGTACACTGTACTTGAGAAAAAAGGTATCATTTTTTGAGTTTTATTGAGATGTAAAACGGGTTGGTCACGTGATCAAATCCCATAAAGCCCTTCGGGCTCGGGCTTTATGGAAGATTTGATCATGTAACAACCCGTTTTACATCTCAATAAAACTCGAAAAATGATACCTTATTACTTATATTTACATTTGTGACTTATTCATACTTTATATTTGCCTGATTGTTACTTTATACGTGTGAACTGCGTTATTTTTCAAACCCAACGGCATGTGTGTTATCCACCAAACGCGCGTCGACCCTTTATGACGTCACAGAGAAATTACGTCGAACGTTTATCCAAACGCACATCTATGACCTCTTGACCCCGTACCTGTATTTACAGTTATAAAAACGCTTGCCTTCAGTAGTGTTATATAAAGGAAAACATTTGCAAATGTAAATATATAGTTATAATGCCTCATTCAAATTCGTGAATTTCATGACCCTTGTTTCAGGGTTATGCCATTTGGTGTAAGGGGGGTGGGGCTCTTTTGATAATATATTGTAAATATATTCATTTTTTTTAAATCGTTTCTTTGCTCCTGGGTTTTCTGAGTAATCTGGTTGATTTTGAGGTTTGCTATGTTTTGAGAGGAAAAGTACGAAATTTTACATTACGAGGTGGTCATGAATTTGAAGTTCTCTCTAAATATCACGTAAGCAACATTTAGCTCCAATGAAAATAAGGGATTCAAAGAACATGTTTATTGATTTATTAGCTCTTCTGAGCCAAAGGCTCAAAGAGCTAATGCTATGGCCATTTGTGCGGTGTGCGTCGTGCGGTGTGCGTTTACTTTTTAGAATATGGGCCATAACTCAAGAACCCCTTGGCCAATCAGTGTCAAATTTGTCACAGGGTATCCTTGGCCCAAGGGCTACCATTTGTACTAAAATAAGGGTTGGGACCCTAAAACAAGGGGAGATAATCAGGAAAACAATATCAAAAGTACTGGTTGCTAAAAAATCTTCTTCTCCAGAACCACCAGGCAGATTTTCACCAGACTTACATACAATGATCAGGATATGTTGAAGATTAAAATTGTTCAAGGCATGACCCTGGGGCAAAGGGCGTGGTCTCAAGGTCACTTCAAAGTTAACCAAAATTTACATTAAATAAAAACGTTGAGATTTTGCTTACTATAAGGACTAGGATCATCAAATATTGTAAGTAGATGCATCTTAACACTTCACATCATGTTAACTCAAAAGTAGGTCACGGTGACCTACTTTTTTAAATTTGCAGGCATTTATTTTCAAATTGATTTGAAGGCATATTTTGGACACTTTAAGGCCTATGATCATCAAACTTTGTCAGTTGATGCATCTTGGGTCCTTAAACAAGGTCGACTTAAAAGTAGGTCACCGTGACCTACTTTTTGAACTTTATGATTTATCCTTTTTAAAACATTTCATCCCATTATTTCAGACACTGAGAGGGTTAGAATCATCAAATCTTGTAAGTTGCTGCAAATTGGGACCTTAAAACATATTTAAGTAAAAGTAGGTCACTGTGACCTACTTTTAGAATTTTGCAGGCATTTGTTTTCAAATTGTTTAAAAGGCATTTTTTGATTACCTTCAGACCAATGATCATCAGGGTTAGCTTTGTCAGCTGATGCATCTTGGGACTCTGAAAAATGTCGACCAAAATGTAGGTCACTGTGACCTATTTTCGACATTTTATGGCTATATTTCAGTATCTTAGGTATTTATTGGCTTAGAATCATCAAACTTTGTGAGTTGATGCATCTTGGGTTTTCTGAGAGTGATGACCAAAAATTAGGTCACGGTGACCTACTTTCAATATTTTATGGCTATATTTATGTATCACCAGTACTTATCGGCTTAGAATTATCAAACTTTGTCAGTTGATGCATCTTGGGTTTCCGGAGAATGTCGACCAAAAAGTAGGTCACGGTGACCTACTTTTGACATTTAATGGCTATATTTATGTATTTCTGGAACTTATCGGTTTAGAATCATCAAACTTTGTTAGTTTATGCCTCTTAGGTTTCCACAAAATGTCGACCAAAAAGTAGGTCACAGTGACCTACTTTTGCCTTCTCAGGTATTTATTGGTTTAGAATTATCAAACTTTGTCAGCAGATGCATCTTGGGACTCTGATAAATGTCGACTAAAATGTAGGTCATGATAACCTACTTTCGACATTTTATGGCTATATTTAAGTTTCTCTGGTACTTATTGGCTTAGAATCATTAAACTTTGTCAGTTGATGCATCTTGGGTTTTCGGAGAATGTCGACCAAAGAGTAGGTCACGGTGACATACTTTTGAATATCTCAGGTATTTATTGGCTTAGAATCATTAAACTTTGTCAGCAGATGCATTTTGGGTTTTCGAAGAATGTAAACCAAAAAGTAGGTCAAGGTGACCTTTTTTTTAGAATATCTCAAATACATATTGGCTTAGAATCTTCAATCTTAGTTTGTCTATTAATGCATCTTGAGTCCTCAGGAAACTTCAATCGTAAAGTAGGTCACCATGACCTACCCATGTTTTTTTTTATAGCTTTATTAGAATATCTTCAGTCCTAATCTGCTAAGAATCATCAAACTTTTTATCAGTTGATGCAACTTGGGTATTAGGATACTTAGGGTTAGAGGCTTCAAATACAAGTGATAGGTTGTACAATTTATCAGAAGAGCGATTCAAGGCCCTTGGGCCTCTTGTTTTATTTCGCTCCCAAGTAAGAGTATTGTTAGCATAACTGAATATTATTCAAAACTGAATATTATGCGAGATGTATTACAGTAATATAAAGAATGCTCAACGAAGAACATATACTTGATTAATATTTCTGTTTTGTTAAATTGCATAGGTGACAGTATGGTAGACACCGGGTATGCTGGTAAAGATCTCTCTGGGGTGTATTTTTCTACGCCAGACCGAGATTATGACAGGTTCTTAAGAGGAAGTTGTGCTGGCATCTGTAAAGGAGGCTGGTGGTTTAACAATTGTTATAAGGTCTTTCTTAATGGGCCCCTGGTCCCCAGGATACTGGACAGGTCCATGGTCTCCTGCAGTAACGCAAGGGGCCTCTGTCAAGGAGACAATCATGATGGTCAGAAGTCACTAGGTTGAAGCAACAAGTGTATGGGTTCGATTGAGTGATTGATTTCTTTTTCGCTGGGTAGGCTATATTTCGGCGGGTGATTGTGAAATTCATAGTTATATTGAATAAGGCTGCCTCTACCAAAATTGTGAAATTCATGGCCCCTCGCTCAGGGGTTCTAGTTCTAGGTCGGGGTTCTATTGATTATATATAGAATGTTATAAAAGAAGTGCCAGAACACTGGAAAATTTGAGAAATCGTTTCATGTCAGCTGAAACCTCGTAAATCCACTCGTGTTTCGTGTTGCTGTGCCTTTGAACTATATAACATATGCTTTTGATTAACATTTTCTATAATCAATTAAACTTTGTGCTATCATGGACAGCTAAATTACATTTTTATGGACAGTTCAATAACTTTAAAAATTGTATTACTCCTGTTATACTGCGTTGATATGTGTCTTTTGGTTGATAGGTTGTGAAATGTTAGAGTTTGTTACTTAAGTAGTTGATGAAGAGACGCTCAGGGGAAGGTAATGATTTAGGAAAAAAATTAAAATGATGTTTAGGAAACTTCAATTGATTTTAAGGTGTATAGATTTGTTGTTTTAGTGAATTAGTTCTTATTTGATAAATGTTTCCATAACGTATTAATACGACATGTAGTATTTTGTAGTAGTTTTAGTGTTAGTGTAATGTAATAGTAGTTGTTAACTGGTGGTTTGTAACTTAAAAAGGGGGAAGGAATGGTGAGTAGTGATTTTAAGTTCATAAATAAATAAGTGATTTATGATTACAAGTTCTCAAGAGTTACAAACGGATGCATTGCCTAGATCATTCCAGTTGTGTTTAGGGTATTTAAGAGTAGAGTAATGTCTAGTATGGTCAAGAATAAGGAACTTTTAATGAGTGAAGCAATGGGAGCTACATTCGTAGAAATGGGAGCCGTGTGTTGAGTTAGGTTCACGTAAGAGTAGTTTGATGATAATTTGATAAAGATGTACGGTGGAATCATGAATGTGGCGGATCAAAGTTCGTGGATTTCATGGGTTACCCCACCAACATTTATTTTGTAAACATACTTATTTGTTAAATCTTCTGTATATATGATATACCCAAAAAATTACGTCCTCACGAACCAAAAAATTTTGCTTACCCATGAACATTAACCCCACGAATTAAAATGATTCCACAGTATGAAGAGTCTGAGTTAGATATTAATTAATAGGTTTAAGATAGTCATCTATTGGAGGTAGGATTCATATATACTGAAACGCAAAAGACACGCAACACCCTACTCTAGGAGGAAATAATAATGTAAAGTAAATAATTTTGTATCTTAAAATTTTGGATATCTTCAGTTTGGTAAAATCGGTAATTTTACGGTTGAACGATTTACATATCATAACCAGAAGTCAAGTTTGAGTCTGCTTGATAGAAATAAAAAAAATTACATGTTGAACCAATCATTTGGCAATATTATGGAGTTTGAAGGGTTTGTACTGCTCATCTTAAGTAATGCAGCAATATTTCATAAAATGAAATCTCCTTTCGTTTACCGTAACGATGCTATTGCTTCTTGAAAATGGCTTAAGTAAATATTTCCATTGCTCTAACTGGAAAATTTCAAAGTGGAGGTGATGGAGAGTTGATGATGCAAACATACACTACACTACGCATCAACGGGCTCTTACGTATCATATGCATAATTGATAGTCCTTGGACCGGATTCCTAGGGTTACTACAATGCGCTAAGTTAGAGAAAATTCGACATACACATCTAAAAACAGGTATTTAAGAATGACAAGAATAATTCCTTCGCTCAGATCTTGATATTGATCAACATATTGTATAGTAGAAATTAAGGTACAATTGTGTTAAGGGCAGTCTTGCACGTTGAAATTGAATGGCTGGGAGGGGGTGTTACTGTTAGTCATATGTTACTTAGTAAAGTTAAAATATAAAGATTTAACATGTTATCAAATCTCTGATCTTCTGAAAAGTGAGTTTAGCCTTACTGTTTTTCTTTTTTGAAAATCTTAAGATAAAAAATTCAAACATTTGTAGATTACTGCTTGTTGCGTTTCTTTTGCTTTTCAGTATATAATAAGTGTGACATTTTTAAAAGTAAGGAGTTTTTTACTAGGATTTAGACAGTATATATGCTAGCGTATATGTAACACCTTTCGTTTGTACTGGGCCTCCTTAGTGTAGATATGTAAATAGATTAATTCATGCATTGTTTACTGACTTTTAATTGGATTGAGCAAGGATTTTGTAACAACAAGTGGATATGTATAGTGGAACAAAAAAGTTATAATTGCTCGGTCACCTCCGTGAACTTTCACTGATGCCTTTCCTTGTTGCTGACCTTAATCCCCTTGCAGGTGTTATATCGGCTTTGAATGTCATAGTAAAAGATCGGCAAAAAAATGTGCGTAAATGGGGTACCTGCATGTTTCTGGTTATGGCAGGAAAAGAGGGCACGCCCTATACAGACTGGAAAAAAAAAACAGAAGTCTCTATCGAGACTGAAGCTCTACTGGTTAGAACTTATAGCAAAGGAAGAGAAAAGTACTTAAGCAGCTGGGATTTGAAACTAAATAGAATAATGATCGCTGAGAAAGTCTCTTTATGTTCTTAGTGAAGTCTACTTGTGTGCCAAGTTATACTGAAATCAGACCAAAACTGTAGGAGGAGCAGCATTTTGAAACAATTTTACAGACATTTCTATTTTAGTAACCACGACAACACCGTTCATCAAAATTAAAATTCAATACACAGAATTATGTATCATAGTGTATTCTACTTGTGTGCCAAGTTATATTGAAATCAGACCAAAACTGTAGGAGGAGTAGCATTTTGAAACAATTTTACAGATATTTCTATTTTTAGTAACCACGGCAACACCGTTCATCGAAATCAAAAACCGATACACAGAATTATGTATCTTAGTGTAGTCTACTTGTGTGCCAATTACTGAAATTAGACCAAAACTGTAGGAGGAGTAGCATTTTGAAAGAATTTCACAGATATTTCTATTTTTAGTAACCATGGCAACACCGTTCATTGAAATCAAAAACCGATACATAGAATTATGTATCTTAGTGTAGTCTACTTGTGTGCCAAGTTATATTGAAATCAGACTAAAACTGTAGGAGAAGTAGCATTTTGAAAGAATTTCACAGAAATTTCTATTTTTAGTAACCATGGCAACACCGTTCATTGAAATCAAAAACCGATACACAGAATTATGTATCTTAGTGTAGTCTACTTGTGTGCCAAGTTATATCAAAATTAGACCAAAACTGTAGGAGGAGTAGCATTTTAAAAAATTGTTTACAGACAGACAGAAGGACAGACAGACAGACGCAGGACGCATTACTATCGCATAAGCTTTTCTGGTCTCTGACCAGTAGAGCTAACAAGGCAGGCTAGGAGGTGTTTATATTGGTAAAGTGTCTTTTTTTATTCAAGACCAAATTTTTAAGCATAAAATATGAGATAGAATAATTCATGTTGAAATTAACAAAACAATATCAGTTACACTAGTTTGCCTTTTACTGTTTAACACTTTCTCATCAGAGGAAATTCGAACATTCAATCTGTTTCAAACGAAAAATTAAATAGAGACAAAAACAACACTACCTGAGAATGCCTTTCTCGTGTCGTTTCATGTCATATATTTTACACTTTAAAAAGAAAAGCAACAACACACTTACTTAGACTGTATCTGTAGTTTTTTTTAACAATGACAGCCACTATTTGATGTAGTTCCTGGGAATTCCATATCTATCCCTTATGCCTAGATAGAAGAGTTTGGTTTGTGAGCAAAGTAACTCTGGTGGATTTAATTTCTGTCACATATTGTCTGTCAACACCCCCCCCCCCCCCCTTGAGTAAACTGAGGTGACCTATTGCAATCCGTTATTGTCCGCCGTCGTCCGACGTGTGTTAACATTTGAACATTTTCAGCTTCTGGTGATAGGGTGGGACTCTATAGTGATTATATTGTGAAAATGCTTGAATTCTTTGGAAATATTTTCCTTTGCTCCTTGGTGTAATGTCAATGATCTAAGTATATATTTATGATGAAGAAAGGTGTCTCTTCCAAAACGGTTTCAGGGCCCCTGCGTTAGAGGGGGTAGGGGGGGTTGTTGTTATATAGTCTGAAAATAAAGAAATACTTTGAAATCTGCTCTTTGATATTAATTTCCCATTTCTGATGAAATGAAATTTACAAAATTCCAAAATTTTGGAATATGTGGCCCCAGGATCATTGGTTCCTCTGGGTTGGTGTGCACAACTGGTGGTTATAAAGTGGAAATGAATTTTCTCTCTGTTACTCTGATTTGACATTGTTTATTAAGTAACCAAAAAATAAGCATGCTAAGTGTATAGTTATGATAAACAGTAGTGCCTCTTTCGAAATTGTGAATTTCAAGGCTTTTGGTGTAAAAATAGTCAAACCAAATTCAGTTGTTGGAAAGTTGTTACATGTTACTCAGGTGACCTATAAGACCCGCGTGCCTCTTGTTTTCTCAGGATTTTACAAATATCTTTCTTTGTTTTTTTCTTTTCCACTAAGCTATGTGTGGGTTTTTTTTTTTTATTAAAATCCGTACTAATATACCAGTATAAATATTACAAATCAATCAAATTTGTTAACTTTTGAAAACTAACTTGGAGGTAGGCGGGAGAACAATTGATATTATTGCAGTTCTTTATAAGTATGAATGCTGCATAATATGCGGTTCTTTTACTACTAGGTTTTCCTCCATATCCATGACGATGGAATTAAATGGCTCTCTTAATATTTCCTCACCTTGAATACTTGCTGAATGACTTTTCCCAAACTTATCGAGATCATCATTTGTTAGTAGAGTGACGTATTAATATCGGTATGAGTTCAACACTCGTGGAAGACGGGCGTTTCTGAAGATGAACACCAGAAGAAAATTTGGTGAAGATAAATACATTGTATAAATCATGGTAGTCAGGTTATTCAAATACTCCGATCCTCTGGTTATACATATCAGATTTTTTTCAATTCCCTTTGATCAACAAACA